CATATTTGGAAGAATGATTTTATCTCTGCAGTGAGTTTTAACAAGTTTTGGTTTTTCTCCTTCTTTAGTAGCCTTCTTAATTTTGAGGAGTTTCTTAACAAGTCTTTCATGTTTTAATTTTGGTGATCTTCTGTATGATCTTCTAGCTCTAGCATCTAACATCTTGACAAAATCAGCTTCTGGCATGGCAGTGATTTCTTCAAGTGATTTTCCTTGTAATTCAAATTTCTTGAAAGTTCTTTTCTTAGCAACAACCTCAGACATTATACACTGTCAATCACAAGTTTTCTCAGTTCTTCCTTTAACCCTATTTTTTCTTTTTTAATAACTCTTTTTATAATTATTTTATTATTGTTCTTTTTTTCGTTATATATAACTAAAAAAATTTTTAATTAAAAACTTTATTTTTAAAATAATTTTTAGTTTTCTTATTATTCAGTTTAACTTTTTAATAAAATGTCTGACATCAATACTTTCCTTCATTTTTGTTTAATTCAAAAAGATACTTCTAAATTTCTAGTATTACCGTCATTACCAAATCCATTTAATTATGATATTAAAAACTTAGCGTTTTATAGTTGTTCAGATGTACCTTCATGTCAAATACAAATTCATTTTCATCCATCAAGGGATGTTTATGGAATTCCATTAGGAGTTATCAGTTGTTCATTGTCATCAAAAATTTCAGTAGCTATTTTAACAAATTCACCATTTTTAACATATTTTTCAACGAGATTACAAAGAATTAGTCAATTTTTTTTAACACAACCAGGTATTTCAAAAGAAATATTTATTCAAGGATATAATTTATTAGTTAGTAGTGTTGTTCCATCTCCTGCACCAATTGAAATTGAAACAGCATTTGGAGTAGATCAGTCATTAACCAGATTAGTAAATAAATATTCATCAGAATTTCCAACATTATTAAAACTATTATTAATAGAAAGTAAAACTATTTTTTTAAGTACTAATGATTCAAGTAGTTTAATGATGTATGCATTAGCAAATTGTATGCCTGGATTAATTACACCATTTACTGATATTTTATCAATTTGTGGAGTTGATGTAATAAATCCATTATTAGAACTTTCATTACCTTTTAAAAATTATTCAACAAATTCTTTATTTTTCTCTCTTCCATTAGTTTCTTTAAATAAAATAATTGGAAATCAAACAGGATTTATGGCAGCTGTATGTAGTTCTGTATTAAGAACACGAAGTGAAAATATTGATGTTATTATTGATATTGATAATTCAAAATTAATTTGGAATAATAAACAACTCCAAAAAATTGTTTCTTGTACTTCAAGTGATAAAAAATTTTCTAAATATTTAGTTGATAAAATAAGACAACATAAATCAGTTCATACATATGAAGGAAGTGAACATTGGTTATTAATGAAAAGTGCATTATATATAATACAGTTTTTATCAATGATGTGTTCATTTGATATATTTTCTGATAATGAGACATTACCAAAAAATATTCCACATTGTCAAGATTATGGAATTGATTTTGTTAATGGTTTTTGTAAAACTAAAGGATTTTATGAATGGAAGAAATCTCTTATGTTATCAGGTAAAGCAAAAAAAATGACAGAATTATTTGAACCAAGTCATCCT